TATGTTACATAAGTCTTTATAGAAAACAAATATTTTCAAACAACTTTTTCGTATAAACAACATCACGAAATCAACAATTGTTTTTATGTTCGAATGAAAAATATGCCCATTTTGCATTCAAGAAGTTCGTTATTTTTTTTTTCTTGATCAATGATATCACAGAAATTCCGAACGTGCGCTGGTTTCCCAGAAGTCCGTGATGAAAATGTTGCGGCAAACCCAAGCTGCCTGCTTATCTAACAAAGATTTAATTACATTACAAAACTCTGGTTCACAAGTTCAGAAAAGATCAATTTAACTCAAGTCTATCTTTTCTATGTTCAAATAACATATCTAAATAGGAATGAATACATTTTATATTTCAATCAAAATAATTTAGTAATTTTTATTATATATATATATAACAAAATGATCTGAAAGTAATAATTTTCAAATAAATTTGTCTGAAATGGAATTATAAAATTACAGTACAAGGAATGTTAGATGATAACGTCAAATCTTCAAGTTTAAAATTGAAATTATATTTGATTTTCTTTGACAAATAACATTAAATTCAGAAAATAAAACAAATAAGAAGTATAAAGTAAAGCCAATCTTACCAATTTTTTAATACTCTTATATTGACGAAAAGTCATACTTTATGAATAAATCAAAGATATAATTTAAAACAGAAATAATTCTTATTTAATACCAATAAATAAATAAGGTCTCTCAGCATGTAAAGTATCTGAAATATTTGAGAAACTACTACCTCTTTTATATGGGATAAAGTAATAAATAGGTACTAAACTGCCAACTTATTTTCAGAATTTTCAAAATTTATGTTTTTGAAAACATCATTTCCAAGTACAATACAATATGCATTTATTTCTTTTGCAAATTTGCAGCCGTAATATTTGGAATTTCCAAAAATGTTTGTAAAATAAGCATGAGGTGCAATAAAAAAAAGGGAAAAATACGGAAGAAATTTGTAATGGTTCGTTGGAATGCATTTAGGTAGTAGTGGTTTACCGGTTCGAAACGAGAATAAGTGACGGTTGTTTATAAACGAAATAAATGCGGAATACCGAAAATAAAAGATCACGGGCTTTAAATAATGCGATCTGGATAGACGCCAAATTCTAGTCTGGATCTTTTCGCATACAGTCGAAAGAGGAAGGAAGTGGGCAAAGTGTGTGCGCTCTGCCAACAACATATGATTCAACGCTCGCCCAGATATCTCAACGCAGCGGACTTATAAAACCAGTCATAAATATGAGATCATTGCGATAAACTCTCCGGACTCGGAATTATCATCGCCATGTCCGGCTAGGACGTTCCTACTGCTGTTGCTGCTGCTGCATGCCATGATGATCCAAGAGTGCGCAGCGAGCGCGATTGACGTCACCTCTAGCACGAATAAAAGATTACAGGAAAGCCAAAACAAAACTTTTGCAATCTTTGCCTTTTAGATATAAACTACGGTCGCATTACACATAACACATACACGCTTATTGTTCCAAACAGTCAAAACCAAACCGCAGCTGAATCATATCCCCAAGAAGTCGACTCGTTGGAATTTCAAATAAAAAAAAAACATTTCACCGGAAGGACCCCTCCGTAGATTTCTCTTCGCAGAAGGCAAATCACTAAATAATATTACTAAATAAATAAACATAAGTATATATCACGACTCCTCTGAGTTATCAACCGGCCACCATCAGAATTATTACCTTTCCGATTTTAATTAGAAAAGACATTAGTTCTCTCCGAAAAACCTACTATTAAAATAACAGCACATTTTATAGTAAAGACTCGTTTACTGACTAATTAAGGAAATTCGTTTCCTGGTATCATCAGCGGAGCGGCAGGCAGGCAGGTTATTTTTCAAATGTTGCGTAACGTCAAGGTCACGACGAGTGTATTCCGAGCGTAGGAGCATTATCATTTTTGGGATATTATTGGCAGAGTGTGGTGCATCCGATGTGCAAAAAAAATAATTGTCGGAGCGGATCTGGCGCACGTTGGAGGAAGGAGCGAAGAAAAGCGCACATTCGTACGCCTCTAGACGCATTAAAACACAGAAAACGTGTGCGGATTATACAACACGTTCTGTAATAATTGACCTATTACGTTATACGGAGAGTAAATGTTTTCCGGGTCGTTCTACTTCTGTTATTATTCAATAAGTATATTGAAATAAGGCCACACGAAAATGCTCGTATGCGTTACGTTACGTTTTTTTTTGTATATGAATATGTTTTACTAATAATAACTATAAGTAAACGTAATGTAGACTGTAAAACTATAATCATTAGTCATTTTATTGTTCCAAGAAAATGCATTCAATTCCACGAAAAGTTTTTAAACCACTGCAAAAGATACCACGAAATAGTTGTAAGTGCAAAGGCGACTTTAGACATGGTTTTTTTCTCTGTATATATACGTGATATTTAGTATTGTTACTATAGCAAATCGTGACTAGATTTGTAAATTGAAGAAACTTTAGCTTTACTTTAGTAAATTTGTATTGTTTATACACAAGTGAAGGAATAACAAATACAAAAATTACTTGCTCCAACCGGATGCATAAAAAAAATGGTTTCTTTTTATTATCTGTATGTATGGTTCATCAATAGGTCAGGAAATTATGAAAACATTATAATAAATATTTAAAACCAAATTTGGTGAGAAAGATTGATACATTATTATTTTTATAGAAACATTGAGAGAAAATAAAACGTGATTTTTTAAATGTTGTTTTCAACATACGGACGCAAATGAATAGATTCAGGTGTTTGTAGAATATATACTCAAAATTATCATAAATAAATTGACGTATGAAATACTTTCACACCGAAGTAATTTATTGAAATAAAAAAAAATGCATTTACGCACATATTCTCTGATATGTTATTACGTTTTCTTTTTATCAATTAACGCTGTTTTCGCTAGTCACTTCAGTAAAACTTATTAATTACTTTTTTAATTTGTTTATGAATATGTGAGTAAATGATAAAATAAATCTATCATACAACAAATTTTAATCCTATGTAAAGTAGTTTTATTAAATCGCCTTAAGTAAACTCAATAGAATTCAAGTTTTAGACTTACGAACTAGTTACTTTCCAAATGGTTGTTCGTAAGTCGAATTTGTTCGTAAGTCAAACGACAAAAGATACGAAAATATTATATTTTATTAAAGAAATTATCTATGTAACAAGAGATTTTGTTCGTAAGTCCGGGAGTTCGTAAGTCGGGAGATACCTGTAATATGTTATACATATACAGTAATTCAACTATTTTTTTTAAATTTCAATATCTTCAATTATTATTAATAAACATATGTAAATTGAAAAATAATTGTTTTATAAAAATTCGAAATATGTCAATGATTTATCATACTAAATACATGGAATCTACTTTGTGACTGTGTAATATCATTTACTATTAAACAAAATTTTTTATTTATTTAAATATTAAATAATATCAAGGGTATCGACCCTGATTTTATCGTGGTTTAAAAAAAAAACTAAATGTGAACAAAGCATTCAATATGTTATTAGTCTAGGGATTAAATTTTGAATAGCGCTCCAAATTCTAATTCCTAATACTTTGAAATATGTTAATATGTCTCCTTCCATCGTACCGTTATATAATTTCAAAACGTAGTATACATAACCGTAACCTTTACATGAAAAACAAAACAAGTATTTTTTGTATTTTTGACGAAACATTTTCTCATTTCCTAATAACTACATATTTTTTTTTTGCATGAAATCATAGGATACTACATAAGATATACATTTAAATACATTGTATACAAATATTAGATAACACCGATCTTAGAATTCTATTTATTAACATATTTATTATGGGAAATATTTTCAATATTTAATATCTGTACTTGGAATGACGTAAATTCCATGAATCATTTAATAAAGCTTAAATGGTAAATACACGTACATTAAACAAATCATTAAAAATCGGTAGCTTAATGATTAACAAGAGGTCAGGACAATTAATGATTCCGTTTAAATACTGCAACACGCTCTGACGACAAACAATTTGTTTTCACTGAAAAGATGAAATTGTTCAAGAACATGCCATTTGTTTATTTTCCATCGAAGAAAAATTCGAAAGAGTATTTAGTCAACCGACAAAGAAAAAAAGCAGTTCTAACCCCACCCGAAGAGAAGAAGGCGTTTTTTTTCTATTTTACGGTCCCTAAACCTGATTCCAACTTTTTTTTAAAGTAAAAAAACACCCTTCTAAACGTGACACCAACGTTTATAATGATTTCTTGATACTTGAAAACAAATTAGTTAAAGTTAAAATATCTTTTAATTTTGCATTAATTTTACTTTAAACTACGGCATTAGATTGAAAAAACAAATTATATTGAGCCTAGGACTTTAAATTGGTAAACTAAGAGTCTTGAATCTTATATTTAACATTTTTGAAACTCTTCAGGATTCCTCTTTTTATTTGTAAAAATGAATGTATTTAAGTGTTTTTTTTTATTGCTTTTGGAAAGGTAATGATTTCGTAATTTTCCGTTAGACAATTAAGTAAATAGTGAGGTTGCTTATACATTTCCATCGTCAATGCGTTATAATATTTGTAAGTAAATGTGCTGATGTATATTTTCAGAGGGTATATATGTTGTTTACTTCGAAGCATGTTCGTGATGTAAAACTACCACCTGTGTTTGAATATGTGCGACAGGGGAGAGAAGGTTGTTGGGAACGAGAAGGAGGAAGGAGAAGAGTAGAGAAGAGACGAGTTGTCCCCCGATTCCACGCTGCAGAGTCTACATAGGTCTACACACATATACCAGATTTAGCAGGAGGAAGTCTGGCTGTCGGCCTCCGCACCCCCTCCACCCTCTGCAACATCGACGCCCAAAACGCTCCACAAGTGTAGATCCGGTCCGAAGCGGCAACGCCGCATGATCAACCCCCACCATCGTCACCACCTCTCTCTACTCCCGCATACAGATCCGCATGTAGAAGATATTTTGAAACAGAAATCAAAATCAAACAGTAGTGGTAAGGTGGCAGTCGTAACGGCAAGTCACAGTTACTTACTAAGTGCACAACACGCGCGCAACACAAGCAGTTCATCTTCGACTGGCGTCTTTACATTTTTTTACATTCTTTTGATCAGTGACATTCTCGAAGGACCATCGCGGTTCCTCACCTGTTTTTACTACATATTATCAACCTTCAGTGAAAATATCTAGTGATCATCTATGCAGTGTAATCAAAGATTGGATATTAACTAAATCTTCAACGTCACCCTGGACAGGATTTATTTTAACTACGGTAAGAATCACCATCATCATTATTAATTACAACCAGCAATAGTTCTATCGAGCAACGAACACAACATTTTACAACTACCTGTTGCTGCAGTTGCAAAAGTTCTTAGGAAATACCACGGACGAGTGCGCAATATAGGAAATACCACGGTATCTCTCGGAACTGCGCGCTCTGTCAGACAGTGCGATATACAAAGTCGAGTTTACTTCATTTTTTACTTTCATCTCACAAAGAATTGCGCTTTTTTCCCTGTTTTTATTTAAGCCTTTCCTATATCGAATCAATAAAATTCACACGTGCAAAGATTATATTGTTTATGGCTACGTTTTATTTCACTTATCGCACGTTCACACTCGTTGCAAGTTTTACAGTTGACTCGTTCTCGCTCTTTTTTATACGAATTAAAGACCTGATTTCCGGGAAAATCCTCTCGACGCAGACACTTCAGATACATTGTCTACATTAATCGAAACAATCAAGATAACCGCATTATATAATGGGCGTTAGATAATTTTCGTTTTGTGACTTGTTGAATCGATGAGTCGTGGAATTTTCATTTTCGAGATTGGCTTTAATTAGAAGCCTTGTAGCGGGCAATCACCCACGACCGACCGGAGAGATATTAATTTAGTACGCAAACGTCATAGGGTCCAGTTGGTTTTATTCACTCAATTTACATCGTTTATGTTTCCTAAGATGATCTTGTTTACTGCTGTTTGACGTCGTTCGCACAGGCAAACGAGTAAAGGAGCGAAAGTGTATGTCGGAAATTATCCGTAATGATTAGATATGTAATGGGATGGCCGAAGAAGAGGCCTAAGTTTAATTGCATTTGCACAGAGAAACAACACCAGCAAAGGATAGAGCGCGCGCGCATAAAATATATTTAAATAATGTCCGTCATTTAAAACCAGCGTTTCCTGTTCATAAATATAAACTGGCTGCTCACAAGAAAAGCATTCGAACGCGGAAGCGCGCAAGCTTGGCATTGACACATTTCTTCCTGGTTAGAGCATTACTTTGTGCATGCTGCTGATGTATATAAAAGCTTTTGTCTCGAAAATGATCGTTCCTGATTAATTCCGAGCAGGTAGAAAAAAGGCACCGCCTTGCCGATCACCGGAAATACTTTTAGAGTCTGGATAGAAGAATGTAGGAGGAGGAGTAGGTTGAGAGGAAAACAAAAAAAAAAGAAACTGGACCGCAAGGCAATTAAGATTTCGGGTTCCCACGGTCCCCTTCCAACAGCGGAAATCAATCATATTGATTTTGCCTCGTCATTAAAATTCTTTCTTTGTTGAATTAGTATCGGCATTTAAATAAACACCGGAAAATATTAACGTAAATGCAGAGAATGAGGAGAGACGGAAAAAGAAAAAAAGTTGTTCAGCCTTGAAGGAACTTCCGTGGTGCTATCGCTAAGCGGCGGTCACGCGAAAACAATTGTGATTCTAAAAAATCGTTTTTCTTTACAGGAAATATGAAATTGGTACCGGGCCCACTTCCACCTATACCCACAGGTGCAGGCATGGATCGTCTTCCATTGCCGCTTCCGTTCAGCCCAGACTTATTGTGGCGGTATCCGCTGAGCTTTCCCCTGCATCATCAGCAACCCCCATCATCGCCACTGATGGATTATAAAAGCCAATTGCCGTCGAGCCTGGCCTCCGATCCTAGGATATGGTCTCGCGATGACGTCATCTCCTTCTTGCGTTGGTCGGAGAGGGAATTCGATTTGCAGCCGTTTGACATGGACATGTTTCAAATGAATGGTAATATAGAACGTGAACATATTTCGTAAGCGCTTCGTACTAAATCCGCATTTATTTCATTTCCAGGAAAAGCAATTAGCCTATTAACGAGGACCGACTTATCGGAACGTGCTCCAGGATCCGGAGACGTGTTGCACAACGTATTGCAATTGTTAATACGCGAGGCTAACAACATGCAACGTGTCCTACCGTCCAGCCCTGTAACTCCCACATCTCGTCACCCCTATCCTCTTTCACCGCATTCGCACCCACCTACCCCAAACTGGAGTCTTCTGCAAAACACTAATGAAGCCTTCCATCCACACGCCGCCCAAATAGCCGCACATATCATGGCTCAAAGTAATTCTGTCACCCTGAGCCCGGCGCCGTCGGTGGACAGCCAGGCAGGTGGTAGTCCTCAGCACGCGGAAAACAACGCACCGCCCCATCTCTTCACCCATTCCATCTTCGGTGGCAGCAGTGGAGGCAGCAACGGAAGTGGAAGCAATCAATCTGATTCGGACGAAGATTATAGCGACAAAATGGGCCAGAACATGAGCCCCCCAAACACGCCGAGTGCCTACTCGCTGATGCACCCCAACATCCCACACTTCGCGCCCAGAAGCCCGAAAGAAGTTAAACGCGAATTCTTCCCCAATGAATCTCCGGAACCCAACACAAGTAAGTTTCATTTCATTAATAAACAATAGAACAAAAAAAAAATAAAGTGCGTAAAGGTGTTCAAAAAGTCATTGAGTGAAAGCCGTGAACGGAGAGATAAAGATTTCGTTTCGGATGATTCTTGGAATCTTTTGGGAAAGAGATAAATTTATGCAGGTAGCGGTTCCTCTTGAAAAAGACGAACAATTTACGAGCGACCCGTTGCTCTTTAAGAGATTAAAGAAAGGTACACAGATAACAGCAGCAGTAAATAAACGTGATACATAAATCTTAAAGATTTCCTTCTAAGAACGTGCCGTCAAAAAAAAAAATCTTATTTCCGATTGAAAACCTTTTACGAACACGCAATATATTAAGTGAGGATTTTTTCTAAATTGTTTTCTAAATCTTTTCTTTTTTTTTTAATTATCAGATGGCCGCCTTTTGTGGGATTTCCTTCAACAGCTTTTGAATGACCCCAGCCAGAGGTACACGAATTACATCGCATGGAAGAATCATGAAACCGGCGTATTCAAAATCGTTGATCCCGCCGGTCTCGCTAAACTCTGGGGAATTCAAAAGAATCATCTTTCGATGAACTACGATAAGATGTCTCGAGCTCTCAGATATTACTACAGAGTTAATATCCTCAGAAAAGTCCAAGGCGAAAGACATTGCTACCAGTAAGTTTTACATTTGAAGATTTTTTCTTATTTTTCTACTATCACTACGTGCGGTTTTGCTAAATGTTGGGTTTTGTCACTTTACAGATTCTTGAGGAATCCTACGGAACTGAAGAATATAAAAAATATTTCATTGTTGAGACAACAAATGTCGCCGACGCGTCCATCTCCAATGACACATCAAGTTGCACCGCAGCAGCAGCAACAACACCCGCAAGTGAAACCGGAACCCGTTCAACTCAAGCAGGAATCCCCCGCGCACAGCGAACCCATAAAACCGGAGCCCATCGAGAGTGAAATAAATGTGCATAGCAATATTCCCGCACACAGTGTTTCCGTGCACAGTAATATGAATATGCACAATAACACCCGTGTCTACGAAGATAAACCCACAGACTTGAGTATGGAAGGACCTACGGACTTGAGCATAAGCAGTAATCATGTGAATATTGTATGCTCACCGGACACGCCGAACCTCCGTGAGCCGATGAACTACTACATGAAGGATGACGAAAAGTGATATTCCTTAGTGATTTAACTGCAATGACATTCTGTAATTTATATTTTCGCGTGCATTATTCGAGTATGGAACGAAGCAAGTGACTATAGCGGTGCCAATTATTAATTTTATTAATTTTCTAGAATATATTTTATTATAATTATTCTAAACACACACATACATATATATATATACATACATAAGGTAATTTGTGCAGTAGCAATTATTCACATACATCTTCCATGAATGATAAATAGTAAAAGCTATTTATTCATTTATTGCAACTATGTGCCAAATGAGAAATAAAAAAAAAGATTTTAATATTTTTTTTTTGTCAGCACAAATTATAACCGTAGGTAATGCCGGCGATTACCTTTGCAGCTTTAATTATTTTTGTTAATTAATTTTAAATCACACTATTGTGATCGTAGATAAAATTTAGTAGAAATTTGGAGACAATAATTACAAATTTATATATATATATATAATTATAAATATATGAAGATTTATAGTAGAAAGAGATAGACTGGAATTGAAGGAAAAACAAACGAGAAGAAAACAAAAATGTTATTTGGGTCCACGAAAATTTGAATATTTTGTATAAGAATCACATTCCAATTGTTAGAGAGAGAAGAAAAAAATAATGAAATTGTGACGAAACCTTTAAAACGCGATATAAAAGAAATCATATTTTTAGAAGAAATTTAAACATATTAAAAATTTAAAGAGAGAGATTGTTATATTTATATATATGTATTTCCAGCTCTGTTTCTGTGATCTCTTAAATATTTGACTCAATAATTTGTGTGATTTTTTTTTGTAAGGTTTAAAAATGAAATGAATAGAAAGAGAATTATAACTTTTTTTGTACATACATTTGTAAATATATAAATATATTTAGTATATAGGTGACAAATTATTATTCTGACGAATACTTAGCAATAGTGGCTCATCGTAACATGATGACAGATAGCTTTACATATTGAGAAAGAGGAAAAAAAGAAACAGAACAGTTTAGTTATATTATTATTATTACGAATTTTGTTTTCTTTGTTTTTCTTTTTAATTTTAAATTATTGTTTCATTTTTATTTTTATTTTTTTTGTATAAAAACAGATCGATGGTATTTTGTTCCGAGATTGTAAATAGTAAATTCGCGACGAGACATTACGCAAGAGGTGTTTTTTTTTAAATATAATTTTCTTTTCATTATTATTATTATTTTTTTCATTTTCCTTCAGATAACTTTACATTATAGTATTGTTGTTTAGATGTTTTTTTTTTATACAAAACGAATATTTTATTGTTAATATAATGTTTGAAATAATATAATAATTCAAATCCTAATAAATTATGGTTGTTTCATTTAATATCAACTGAACTTTATTGTATGCTGACAGAGGGTGTACGTTTTATCTGAGTGAAGTGAACGTGTATTCCGAATTGTTGATATGACTTCTCCCGAAATGACCCTTAATTAAACTTAACATATCTGTAATTTATTTAATAAATGGTGTTTGTTTTACGCCTCATGAAACAAGAAATATATTTAGTTTTGACCTTTCTACACGTTCATTAGCAGATTATTACAATCTTAGCTTTGTCATAAAATATGTTAATACTCATCACGATCACTAATCGTTGGAAATGTCTTTAAGTTAAGTTAAGTCAAGTTAAGAGGGGACTTGACATGACGATATACAACATTCTTAAGATTGACCCTATAATAACGTCAATTGAGGCTAAAGCAATATGTAGTGCTTGATCTTTGACATGCAACTATAAAGGATTTGAGACTGTGGCGGGCTTTGTGTACAAGTCCAGACCTCTCAAACAACATATATGTTGAACGTCATAGAACAAAAGAGCTATAAATATGTATCAGTGACATGTTCTACTTTTAACAATTATATCTTTATCTAAATATCTTGTTCAAAACTTTAGATTGCATTAATAAATATATTGATACAAACATAATTGTGTTACTTAAGTATACAGTGAAACCTCGCTTAACGAGGCGACGTTTCGCATAACGAGTGACGATGAGAAGAGAAGTTCCGGATTGCTACATCATTTTTAAAACTAGTGTACACATATTATGTGTATTTTTTGAATATGTTTCACTATACGAGTAAAAATTTGGAAAAGATTTCTACGTTAAGCGAGGTTCCACAGATTTGAATTAATCAATGAATGCTTTTATTGTAAAAAAATATACGTAGTAGAAAATGGTAATGTGATACAGATTCTTCGTATTCTAATGTTCAAGTTTTGAAGGAAAAGTGATCTGATCTTCAACTTTGTAATAAACAAATGTAAAATACATTATTATATTTTCAATTTATAAGTGGAATACAGAGTAATTATAATTGATAGCGTTTAATCAACATATAATTTAAAAATTAAATTAAATGATTGTGCAAATATTTCTAAAAAAATCAATCAAAATTATAACTGTATAAAGGAAAAACATGGAAATAATTATATTAGAATATACGTGAATGTTCAACTTTGCGCAAAACGTAGAATATTAGCAAGATAATTTGTATTTGTTCAGCGTTGGGTTGGTCGAAAATACATTGATTATAGCCATCGGCCAATGGAAGACACATGTTTGGAATTCTTCGCAAAAATTCCTGTATCCAGATGTTCACGGGCACAAATGATTATCGCCGTGTATTTACAGACACACCGCTGAGGAAATTCTCTTGACTCAGCCGAGCAATTACTTACGCACTCCATCATAATGCGACTGATTCATTTATAATTGGTGGAGGATTTTTCAGGTTTATTGGAAATCCACGATAAATCGTAGACTATTCCCGGAATCTCATTTATTTCAAACTGAAATTTATCTCTCATAAACGGAGGAAAAATTAATTAATACGGATTGATATGAGACCGGTTTCCGTTCTAATACAAATGTGATCTGTCACATGAGAAATGAAAGCGTGTATTTTCCAAAAAACCGGAAACAAAAACAAGAAGCTGATAACCTTATTTCCTTTTGGTCATGTAATATGCATAAGATCTTTGCTCTTAATAACGGAAAAGTTGCTAAAGTTGAGAACATTGAGTTCTTAGAATGTTTATTTCATCAGATATGTGCAGCACGCTTTCAAACAATGAGTTATAATTTCTGATTATATTCAAAATGCACGTACGCCGTGCATGGTAATGACAATTTGAATATCAGATGTTGATATAACGTTTAATCGAAGGAATTCTTAATTGAAGATTTATACAATTTCCAAAAAAAAAATGGTTTCCCACGAATAACTTTGATTTTTTTCTCAAGAATTTTAAATCTACACGATACTCATAATAATATATACAAAGTATTGAAACGTTCACAGACAATCAACGGATAAGACGTTCTCCATTACAAACCGGTAATTAACTAAACGTTTATTCATTTCAATTATGGCTTATGCAAATTTCTCTGTAAAATATTTATTTATTTTAAATAATTTGTTTATTTTGTATAAATATTATCTCTTTCTTTAATTTGTTTACAACTCATTACTTGCTTGAGCATTGTGGGAATACATTGTTATTTATTATTGTTATTTCATCAACTAAAGTTGCCTAAAGCAGTGTTATTAAATCTGTGGTCCACAGGCAAGTCGAAAAATATTATTTTTTTTTATTAAATTTACTAAATCTATATTTCTCATATTTTGTTACCAAATCTCAGTCCTTCTAAAACTTTTGATCAAGTTATAATTCCGTTTGTTAATATTTTGCATCTCTCAACATATAATAATTATAAAGTATTGCGTTTCTTGTTTACTGCGAACGATACTAAATCATAATTGTAGTTGGTTGTTATTTGCCGGACGCATTGTTTTGCTGAAACCTCGTACGCAAACGGAAATGTATTATGAAAATAACTCAATTACAATATTTGCTTGGGATTGCATAACTGCAGTTAAACATAATCGTTTCTTTTGTCCGATTAATAGTTAATGTTGCGTAATTGTTTAATATGGACATGGAATGTAAACGAGATTTAAAACTTATTTAAATTAATAATGCCGACTGGACATAATTATATTATAGTAAGTGCAGTTTGATTAAATACTAATGAAATTAGTGTGTGCTAGTAAATAAATGTTGAAGACGGCTGGAAATTTAAAATGCGTTTTAGCATATTTTATCGTTGACTGTACGTAGCTCGTGGCGATATCGGGAAAATTTTGGCACGACCCTGCGCCGTTTCCGGCGGGACTTCCGGTTCCGGAAGTTGGTGCCGTTGCCATGGTTTCAGTCGCCGGAGAAACGTTGTTCGTTGCTGTTGCGCTGCGCTCCGCTCAAAATCGTCCTCTTTAGTTGCAGTTTATTATATCCATCTTTAACTATACTCGTTTAGAATTAAATTGAAAAATAAACCTTTTTAACGCGTATTTACACTTACTGGTAAGTTAATAATATAATAAGTAAATAGCTAAATTAGCTAAATATTTGGATGAATTGCAACATCCATTTCCGGTATCAAAGTGTTATTTTGTTTTGAAAAATAATCTCCTTGTTGCAGATCAAAGTGCCATCGTACGTTGGATGCATAGATTGACTTCGTGGCCATCTATACGCCTCATAACATACTACGCACATAAATAATCGAGGACAAGTTCTTAACTGGAAAAGGAACCTTTCCCGTGTATCCCCACAACAGTTTAACCTAAATCTATTTTACAGGAAGTGCGGCAATTAAACAGGAAGGAAATGACTGTATGTTCGTTATTTGTAGAAATTCTACATTAGAAATCGTATATACAGCTCAGGCAAACATATGCTTGAAGACGCTATTTCAAATGTATCCTTTTTGGTATCCTTTAATAACGTAATGTTTTGTGGGTGTTTGTGTCTTGTTTACTATATAGTTGTAGTGTAATATTGAGAACGTCTTCTACTGAGAACTAAAGGCAGGTTTCTATTTCCAGATAAGAAGTACCATATACTGAATTTCCTGAAAGACTTGTTGGATGATCCACAAGACACATACAGAAGTTTACTAAGATGGGAGAACCGAGATGTTGGCATTTTCAAGATTATGGAACCTAATGATGTTGCTCTGCTTTGGGGCAGAAGGAAAAACAGTGATAATATGACGTATGACAAAATGTCTCGTGCTCTCAGATATTATTATAAAGGTAATATTTTGAGCAAGTGCGGAAGACTATGTTATCGGTGAGTATTCACACTATTACTAAAAATGCAATTATTCATATGCATTATTTGCTTGCAGATTTCACTGGAACTCTACATCAGTTAAAAAAGAAATGAATGCTGATGCTTGTAAAACAGAAGGATTGTGCAAATCTGAACCTGATCTAAATCCAGAAGATTTTATTATAACACCAAACATTTATCATGAATGAAACAGGATTATTCTATTTGATAAAACATTTTATAAATATGAAGTATATAAAGTTTAGGTTATTTGTGAGAACATTTTTAGTGGTGTATCTATTCCACAGCAAGGAATAAGTGACAGAAACTGTTTCTCAATCACATATACTTGAATATGTACATCACTATATGTCTCTTACTATTATATTATTTCTTTTAAGATATTGTTTATGCTTATTTTATATTTCATAATATGCATAACCTTCTTTTTTTTTAAACATTATGTGTATATAGTTTTTATTTTACATATAAAGATGTTAAGGTGAATGTTAATATTTTTTAGAATCTTTATTAGATTGTATATTAAATATAAATATTGTTTGTATTAGCATTATAAAATAAATCTATCTGTATTCTTGTACAATTTCTCTCATATTTTTTTAATGTTGTAAATAATAAACAAGTATTATAAACTGTTGTTTCTGAAGTTTTCTTTCTAACAGATTCATAAGTAACTACAGTTTAAACTCATTATTGATCATTTATCTTTTAAGAATTTCACAATATTATATAATAATTTATTTAATCTTCATTTCTGCTAATGATGTTTTTTAAAACTACATTACAATTCAGTATTTCGTCATTAAGCAATCATTATAACCATATCTTCTCATTTACTAATTAGTTTATACAATTAAATTTGGAAAGAAGAAAAACGTACAGTTGTTTCTTTGAATTCATGTTGAACAAAGAAAATAATTTGTATAATTTATTTTTATGTTGTTTTAAAGTCCTCGATTAGTCCGAACAGGAATTGTACCAGCACTATGCGAGGTATTGTTGTATATTAAAAGTATATATGCATCCACTTACACACATTTTAGAAATATGAACAATCTGATTAATAAATATTGGATATACTAATTAACAATTAGTATTATTTTAATTTAATTATTTGCTGGATATTAACAATATATTTTAAAAATAAAATTTGTTTAAAACTGTTTCTATTTTTCAAATTTCTTGCACATGCTCAATATATTTGTAGATTTAACCTAACAGTAAACGCATTGTTCATCTTGCTTTTTTAAATATCTAAAAATGTTATCATCAAAGGTATGTTATTTACTAATACTTAACTAATATAACTATAACTTTGTTGTTTTTATTTAATGTCAGATTATTAAACTGCAAAATGCATCAAATGTTCTTTGGAAATGTAATGCAATTAGAGCATCTTCATCAGCAAAAGGTCCTATTGAACCAGCCCGAATGGAAAAGAGTAAGCATTATAAAATCAATGAATGCAAATTGTATAATGAAAATGATATTTTAGCAATAAATAATGTACAATTACTTGGAAGAGTTGGTGCAGATCCACAGAAGAAGGGCAGTGATAATCATCCAATTGCAGTATTTTCAATGGCAACACACTCCAACTATAGGTATGAGTCTGGGGAGTTCCTGCAAAGGACTGAATGGCACAGGGTAATTTGCTTTAAACCTGGCCTGAGGGAAACCATTTTAACTTATTTGAAGAAAGGACAAAGAGTGCATGTAACTGGTCGTATCACTTATGGTGAGATTAAAGGAGATGATGGTAAACAAAGAAGTACAACTGCTATAGCTGCAGAGGATGTAATTTTCTTCCATACCAAAGAGACATAAATTTACTGTCTTTCAAAAGTTTATACATGCAACTTATCTAAAGAATATTATATTACTTTTTAATTTTGGTTGGATACAGTTGTATTTATATAAATAACACTTCTTTTATATGTGATGAATCTTCATAGTCTGTAGAATTTTATAAGAATAAATGTCTTTTTCTTAAAAAAAATATTTCTATTTTGTTTCTTTCATATTCAATAGATGTTTAATTAATTTTTGGTGTAATGTATGTAATGTTGTCTTCTGCAATGTTTATTATTAAGAACTTTACATTATAACAAAAAGGCTGAGTTGAAAGATCACGCGGTGGTAGGAGATAATAAAATTATATAACGATTTGTTTTTAAAAATATTTGAACTAGTTTTTAATGAAATCAAGTGGATATTCACAGGCTTGTGAACAGCTTATCTCCAAATTCGCTTATCGTCGACGTAATAGCATAGCACTCGTTAGAAGACCGCAGTGAGAAAAAAATGTTCTTTGTAAAAGCATCTCTACTGGTGCTGCTGGTGCAGTTGACTTTGACTACTCATTGTCATGGTGCGAAGATCCTGGGTGTTTTTCCATACCCCTCAAAGAGTCATTTTATTCTAGGCCGAACGCTCCTGAAGGAGTTGGCGGCGCGTGGTCACGAGGTGACAATGATCTCACCGTTTCCTCTCGACAAACCATTGAAGAATTATAAAGATGTGCATATGAGCAGAGTGATGGAATGGAAATATGGAATCATGAAGGAGATGGGAGATCCAGAGTTGGGTGTAGTCAGGAAATTGTTAACGTTCTACGGTAACCTTCCTCAAGCGGTGAAGATGATTTACGAGGAGCCAGAGTTAAACGAATTGCTGAAATCCGGGGAAAAGTTCGACGTTGCAATCAATATGATGGGATACACAGAGGCGATTCTCGGTATCGGCCACCTTCTGAATGCCACGAACATCGGGTTTAGCATAATGGGGGGAATGCCTGTCTACAATTACCATTCAGGCATCCCGTCGCCGTACGCGTACGTCCCAAACACCTTCTACATCTATAACGATAAAATGAACTTCCTTCAACGAGTCATGAACACCATCGTCAGCTTAACTTTCAACATGTTGGTACACTTTAGCCACTACCCTAAGCAACGAGAAACCCTCAAGGAATACCATCCAACCTTAGAGCTAAACGACTTGATCAGAGACGTAGACCTCTATCTGATCAATTCACATTTTGCCACTGAGAGTCCTCGACCACATCTAACTAACACCATCCAGATCGGCGGATTCCATTTATACGAGAAAGAAAAGCTTCCTTCGGATCTGAAACAATTCATGGATGAGTCAAAGCATGGTGTCATCCTCTTCAGTCTCGGTGCAAACATCCAAATCGCTAAGCTAAAACCTGAAACTATTCAGAACATCATCTCAGCCTTCTCTAAATCCAAGTACGATTTCGTCATGAAATATGAAAAGGATATGCCGAATCTTCCAAAAAACATCAAAGTAAGCAACTGGCTACCACAAAAAGCCATTCTAGAACATCCAAAATGCAAAGCTTTCTTCACGCATGGTGGTTTGGGAGGCACCGCTGAAGCAGTTTATAACGGTGTTCCAATGGTTGCAATTCCCTTCTTCGGCGATCAACGTAAGAATGTAGCGGATGGTCTGGATTTTGGGTATACAATCGAATTGTCATTCACGAACATCACCGAGAGTTCTATGACGGAAGCGATAAACGAGATCACCGGGAACGCGAAATACGCATCCGCGGCTAAATTTCGCTCGGACATTTACAGAAACCAAGAGATAAATCCAATGGATAAGGCTGTTTTCTGGATTGAGCATGTTGCGAAGCATAGGGGTGCTAAACATATGAAACCTATGGCCACCGAATTAGCATGGTATCAATATATGTTGATCGACGTCTTCGCCTTCCTTGCAGCAATTGTACTGCTCACTCTGAGTATAATTTACCTCATTATCAAGACATTAATAAGACTCTGCAAAAAGTCTTCGAATAAATTAAAAGCTTTGTAAATAACATTGTACTTTATATATAATAAAATATAATAATTTATTTTACTCCAAATATTTTTAATCTCATGTAGGATTTTATAGTATTATGATACACATATAGAAGACGATTTTAATAACAAGTTTATCTTTAAATTTCTATCTAAAGTGGAAAAATATCGAATGTGCGAAATTCGTTAAAATTTCATATTTATTGTACATTCTGATTACTTTTATATTCAGATACTGCAACTCGTTTGGTAGAGCATCGAATAAAATTTAATATTATGTATTCTATGCAGTATAGTATTAAGGATAGTGTAGGCTTCTACGAAAATTACATTACGGTCCTGTCTATCACCCTATCGGTGAATTCATGTATTATGTACTTCTTTTCGTCTGCTTACTAAGTTGCCTACATATATCTATTTACCAAATATTAAGGCTTCAATAGTTCCTTAAAATGTTATTGGATGGCGGCACTACAACAAGTAACTTCTTAATTTACAATGAGAGAAAATCTTCAAATCTTCATACATTAACAAATAAACATATCATAATTCATAATGTTTTTTTTTATCGATATAGGGTTGTTATTAAAGATGAAAATGATTCAATTAGAAAAATACCAAGATTATGACTATATATACATGTTAGCAAGTTGAATGAGTGTAAAATTTAATTGTTTGTAATTTTGATCTGAGGTTTGTGATATTAACTTATACAGTAAAAAATATGTAATAGATGATATGGTAACATAAACAATTGGAATAAATAAATATAAGATTTCAAAGAGTAAAATAATACGATGAGGAATTGAAAATTTTCGCATTATCAGTTATAAATTAGGATATAATAAATGCAGTTTCAATATTGAAATATTCGGTTTGGGTGAGTTCGAAACGGTTGCAATGTAAATAACTTTCCATATGATTAAGTAGGAATAATGTGGTGATAGATCAAAAGCGTAGCCTGAGGAGGAATGCAGTTAGTATGGGAGTATATATGTGTGCATGTGAGTGTGCATCGAGCGAGAAAGGAAAAGAAGGAGTATAGGCGGAGGCAGGCAGGGCTGGTACTGTGAACGAGGATGAGGAAGAGGAGGAGAGCGGGAGGTGGAGACAGCGGGGTGGAGGAGGCGGCGGCAGCAGCAGCGGAGGCGGTAGAGGCGGCGAAGGCAGCAGCAGCAGGAGCAAAAGCGCATTTCCTGCACGCAATGGAGATGTGCCGGTCGCGCCGCCGGGGGTGTAAATATTCCATCTTGCGCATATTCAAATGGTAGAATCTGCGCGCATAGAGATGCTGTGACTTTAACACCGCCCCCTTAAAATATCGATCACTTTATATCCATAGCAACGAATTCGGACCTTTTTTGCAATCATTTCCATAAAAGAATAAAGCGGTGCGAGAGAGAAAGATGCGAGGGGGTTGGAGAGCGCGCGGGTGGACGGAGAGCGGCAGCTGCGGCGTACGGGGGGGCGGGCGGTCGGTGGTGTTCTGCTGCTGCTGCCCTTACTGGAAGAAGTGTACGTCGCCGTGCAACCCCCTGCCAAGATAAATGCGTGGGCTATTACCAACGCATGGGATTACTATTGCCCGCCACTCTCTCTCTCTCCCTGGACTGACACCTAATTATGATTTAATTAAACTTTTAAAATGACGACTTAATGCAATCATTTTATAACAACTCCACTACTATAATTATATATGAAAACTTGAACTAATTTAATTTATTAACAACGATAATATTATAGTAATTAATACAATTTTCTTTAGATAAGTTTGCTATAATTTGAATTCAGTACCAAATGCACTTCAATTATAAAAAAAATTATAACAATATCTGTGAATAGTAATTTTTTCAGTTGAAACTTCCAAAATAATAAATTGAAAAATTGGTTATATCGGTAAATTTTACACAAATATATAGTTTCTAAATAATGTATGTTTTATTATTTTGAATATGTGATGTATGAATTGAATAAATAAAGCGAAAGTTCTACAGGTACATTTTCGGTAAGGTGTTTATATAGGTGTGCAAAACAAATTAGAATTGTGTAATAATGTTGGTAGAGAGAATCACAATGGAAGAAATAAAGATGTGTCGGAATTGCGAGGGAGTAGGAAAAAAAAAAGTAAGAAGAAATTTGGCATCGGAGTGGAAAGTTCTTTCGGTCCGCAGCTAGGTAGTAATTGTTATATAATAATGGAGTGACGCAGATGTAAGGTAACCCAATTAGGATATGAGTTGTTGCAATAAGTAAACATAAGAAGATCGCGTCCCCATGGCAACACCCGGTATAGTAGACAAAGGAAGAGCTAACTCATCTTTAATAAGGCGATCAATTATGAAGGCGGCCTCCGAGTCCTGTGCAGAACTCCGATTATTATTATTTTTCCTTAATTGCATTTCGTATATACAAGAAAGACAAATTTCACGGCGTTTGCTCATTTTCTGTGTCTTGAAAATAATAAAATCGGATTTCGTCCGAAGTCTTCTTGCCTGATATTTTTGCGGGTAACAGCTGAGAGTCGGGAAATGATTAGCAGCTAATTTTCCCGGTGTAGACTGTCTTTTATTTCATTATCCTATTATTGATTGGCCGCCGCGGGCTAACATGGCGCGCTTTCAAACAATTAACCCTGCCAATAGTAGGGATCATATTGGTAAGATGAAATATTAGATGGGATAGCGAAAGAGCCGAACCGGGTAGAAACTTAAAAAGAACTTCTTACAACCCCCAGAAGGCTTTTAATTACGGATCGGTGTTTCGTGTCGCGCCTTCCATTAAATTATTCCGGACTGTATATTTCCAGTTAATGGCCGAAACTGTCTAAGATATTAGCCAAATTTCGTCTTTGTTTCTCCCCCTTAGTGGAAGCTTTCGTCCTTGATACGCTTCGACCCCTCCTCGGACCCGTCGTTCATTAGGGAAACTACCCTCACTCCTTACATACACACACACACTAAGCCATACGTCTTGTACACTCGAGGGTGCAAATATTTAATTACTTCTCTGTTCAATAACACATAAAATACAGTATAAATCAAGTCGAATTCAACAATTTTGCTTCATTTAACAAATCCCGAACAGCACCAACCAAAATCCGTGTGCTCTCGCTTCACCTCACATAAAAAAGATAATTACAATCATAAATAAAACGGCAACTATTAGTTACATTTTGTACACTATTTAAAAATTAATTATTTTAACGTCCATCCATTCTCTACAAAAATAATTATAAACATTTACGCATTTTATCAATATTATTCTTGCTAAAAATAATTAATAAAAATATGATTTGAACAAAATAAATTAAGATTTTTTTTGATTATTAAATTTATTAATTTTAATATTGTATTGGTTTCATCTGTCCCAGCCTGAAATAAGCCGTTATTACATGACCTCTTTGCCTTTTCTTCTTACTCGCATCCATTAAATATTAATTTCATTTTAAATTTAAGATGACGCTGGGATTCTAGAATAATTACACAACGAAATTGAAGTTGCATGCGACGTTGATGTTGTTATTACATACATACAACGTGTTTTTGTTCGAGGACCTCGCGTTATGTAAATATGAGTAAATTTGGAGATATTTATTTCGTTAAATAGTTTATGTTATTTCAATGTTTGCCCTTTTGTTGCTAATGCTAATAATGTTTGCGTGCAAATTTGATGAAGGTTGAAACTTTAGTTGGAACTGTACCACCCTTACATTAGAATAATAAATATTCGTAGCGATTTATGTGGGTGGAATTGGATTCGATCAGTCCGTTATTCGATGTGCACGCTTTGCAAACAGAGGGAACCACTTGCGATGGGCGAGTCGTTTCATTTACGTAGGGGGTTGTTATGCGAAATAGTAAACAGAAATACGAAACTTCTCCATTACTCTTATTGCTTTTCTTTCTGCTGCGACACTACAATAGGTGAAATAATCCATATTGTGCCGGTCCTCTGAGAATCCAATACCAGGATCTTTCAAGAAACAAATTTTGATCCAAGGAAATCCATATATAAAGGATGAAAAAAGGGGGAGACCGTAGGTATTTTAGATTGTGCGTGAACGTGTTTAAAATAATGCGTGTAAGAATTCTTTCGTTATGTGTACGTCCATGTAATCATGTATACATGGAGGGTGGACACCCTCGACCCCATCGCAATCATGCAACATTAAAAATCATAGCGCCCCGCCGCGGTTTATGCTACATTACCCCTGTTGATAGCATCGCTGCACTTGCTCCAACATTTTACGGGCATAAATCTTAAAAGTTATCATTCGCCTTTCCTCTTCTTCTAGCTAAAATGTAGCTGCTGAAATCCACCAAAGTGGAAGAAGCATTTTCTTCCGCAGATACATTCAGAACGTAAACTACACACACACATGTAGACGTGAAAGGTTGGAATTTGTTTTGTAGTGCTTCCCAGAAATCATTGATTGGCCATTAAAAAAAATATGCTGATGGAATTCATTATTTGCAACCTTGTCTCGTCTTGAATTATATCTATATAATATAAATTGAAGAAAAAAAAACTTATAAAATAACATATTTATAATTAATAAAATATGACTTTACAATATTTAATTACAAATTTTGATTGGACCCAATTTCTGTTACAATTTTAGATTTAATATATTTTTGAAAAATTTCAGTATTTTTTTTTGATATTTCTTATTGTTTAATAAAAATATTTTTATATATTGGGTTGATCGGAAAATAATTTCGTATTTTATGAGCAAAGAAAGTATGTTTTCCTGATTATTTCAAACGAGACAATCGAAAATTATAAAACATAATAAATTCAATTATTTTTCACTATAATTTCTACAGATCATAGCAGGCGAGTCGATGACATCACAAATATGTTTGTAAGCGCGTTGGAAAGGTGAGATATTCAGCTTTCATACGAGTAGTCGGTGATGTAATTATCTTAAGGGGTTGTCAAGAAACACTGAAAAAAAAAAGAGAAAACCGTCTCGTTGACAGCACGAAGATGTATGTAGGCTTGTTGGAAAAG